GTCGTGGACTTTTTTTGCTTCACCCCCCCCCCCCCCTCCCTCCCCTCCCTCTTCCCACTCAAAAGACAATTTGACATTCATAGGGACTTACGGAGGTCCTTCGTAGGCTACGGTGCAGTCGTACACCCAATCAACCGTGCCCCTCAATTGTTGTAGGCAAAAAAAAAGGCCGGTCGACCGCGGGAGAACTTCGTGCCTTAGAGGTGGAAACCCTTGCTTTTGGCCATACTCGTCACTACGCCTCTTAGTATTTATTGACAAATTCGTCCCTTCAGGAAAGATTAACAGCCACATGGGGTCGTATTCAGACGATTCTGACTTGGAGCCTGAATGTCGGGTTTTCAACTTCTCCAAGCGATGCTGTAGCCGGGGTTTGTCGGATAGCCATTTGCGAGCCATGAAAATAAAGCCGTAGAATGTCATACCTTGACCGACAATTGGGATGTACTTGAGAGACTCTTTGAGGATGATGAAAATGCGGCCATGCATAATGTTCGTATACGCGACCCACCACAAGTAAATCCAATCGGTATAAACCTGGTGATTAGCAATCAAAACCAAGCGCTCCGGAAATTCAGTTTTCAACCGGCCATCTTCTGTCAGGTGAATTTGGCCTTGCACACTCTTATCGCCACTAACTCGAACAAATGTCGGACAGCCCCATTGTGTAAGAGCTGTGATGACCAGCCCGAAGGACTGCTTCGTGTATGCCATGTATGCATAATAATAATCCTTGCTTATTAGGTAGAGAGGAGCACCGAGCACCTGAGTCACTAGGATGGCGACACAACAGCAGTTGAACCATGTTGCAAGCAAGAGGGATCGAAGCACTTGCATTGGGATCCCATGTTTAAGCCGTGGTTCCATGTCATTGTCGGTTCGAGAGGTTTGATCCGTGCTTCCTATACGTTGCCGGGTTGAATTCTCTTTTCGCTGGTGAGGCTCAGGGCAAGGGTCACCCGTCATGTTGGTTTGCTAGTGACCAAAAGAGTACCGGATTCTGTTGGGTTGGTAGATGAGACGCTTTGTTACGGTGTAAATTTATCCTTAACCTGACGATCACGCAACTAGAAATTAGTCGAGCGGTTGCATATAAGGAAAGGCAGTCTCGTACTCGAGCGAAAGATCAACTTGAAGAATCCCAAGGAAATTTTTCAGTTTGATGTCTATCAGTTCAGGCCATGCCCAGGGCCGCGAAGCAAAACAGAAAGACCAGAGGATATCCTATATATAAGGCATGTAGGATGAAGTGAATGAATCGTACGTAGGAGCTAAGGTATTAGGTATGGGATAACGCCTGACCGCAACGATTGGGATCTTGCGTACCCGAGAGCCAAGACGTCCGATACTAGTACTAGTAGGCAAGGCACCTGCCAATTCAATGACGTCCTCTCCCTCATACGTCAGGCTCTCAGGGCGGTCAGACTCTTTAAGTTAGGAGTAGATCATTCTTGGGATTATCCTTCGCCCCATCAAAGACCCGGAGCGACGTTTGTTGATTCACAGGGTCCTTCTTCCCTTCTACCTTTACGGGAACGGTAATAAAGTTCAAGGGTTTATTAAATATATGTCTTCCGGGAATGATTCCATGCTTTAGATCAGGGTTGTCCCACAGAAGTTGAGCTCGGAAGATGAAAGAAGAAGTACCTACAAGTGAGCTTATATCCGAACAATGAAAATAGCCGCCGTCTACAGCACTAATTTCTACATCAAGCCTTAGTTAAAAAGCTTTTCATTCTTTTCTCAATATGCAAGCGACTATTCTTCGGATACAACTATTTCGGTCCAGGATTAGCATAACAAAGTACACACCATGGAAGCGACCCTTTTCATCTTCTCTTCGCCGCTGTGAAATCAGAGATATAGAGACACTACCTCAGCGTTTATTACCTAAATACGAAGGTGTGCGTCTCTACAAATTTGCAGAACTGCTTCTCCCTCTCAAGATAATGAGAAATACTGCGACACGAGACTATGTCTTACTGATTCTTTGTCCCAGAATCTTGGGAGGGCGATCTCCTTTCTCTTCAATGGCCAGCGCCCCCTCGAAATGTCTTTGTTGTGAAAAAGGACTGCGTGCCAACAGTAACGGAATCACTAATTGAATTTGCGAAGTACAGTAGCCGTCTTAATACCTTGGAGAACATAACTGACAGCTTTTTGTCTAGCCATGTAACATCTACATATCCATCTATCGCCCTGATCCTAGAGCCGAAGACTGCCGAAGAAGTTCATTCAAGCTTTCCTTTTCCTATCTACTCAGCTCCATTGGACAGGTTAGCCTCGGCGCTACATAGTAAGGCGGACCTTACGGTTACTCTTGGTGGGGATGGAACTATTTTGCATGCCTCTTCCTTATTCGCTACATGTTATAATGTACCCCCCGTGCTTTCATTCAGCATGGGTACGCTGGGGTTTTTGAGCGAGTGGAAGTTCGAGGAGTACAAACGCGCATTTCGTGAGGTATACATGTCCGGCGCGGGAGTAGGGGATCGAGCTCCTATGTTAGAAGCGTCGAGGTGTACTGCAACGGATTATCAAGCGGATTTTGAGACAGGCCCTACGGGATGGTCGTCGGTCCGTGGGAAATCAATGGGCTCGAGTCGCGGAGCTCGCATCTTGATGCGGAACCGCTTAAAAGTGGGCCTTTTCACTGCTGACGGGAGACCTGTTCAGCAAGACCGAAGGTCATCTTCCATGCAGAGTAGATTGAGCAGCCAGGGAGTGTATGTATTGAACGAAGTGCTCCTCCATCGTGGCAAGGAGCCGCATCTTGCGGTGGTGGATGTTTATGTCGGAGGGCGATTCCTTACAGAGGCAGTAGCGGATGGGATCATCATCTCGACGCCCACGGGCAGTACCGCATACAGCTTGAGTAGTGGTGGCAGTATTGTTCATCCCTTGGTACCTTCGGTTCTACTAACCCCGATCTGCGCCCGGAGTCTGAGTTTCCGGCCTTTGGTTCTACCATCCAGCACGTCGATTACGCTGAAATTGAGTGAGAAGAATCGGGGCCGTGAATTAGAGATGAGTATTGACGGAGTGAACATGGGTCAGGGAATGGCAGTCGGTATGGAGGTCCGAGTATGGAATGAAGAGATGCGGCATGGCAAGAACGAATGGCAAGGGGGAGTGCCATGTGTAATGCGGAGAATTATGGGTGGTGAGGCGCATGATGGATGGGTTGGCGGTCTGAATGGGCTGCTCAAATTTAACTACCCCTTTGGTGAAGAATCATGATGAACCGACAGAGGATCATCCATATTCTATATATTATTATGAAAAAAATTCTGAGAGTTTATTTACTTTACCATCTACTGCCAGGAAACGACTTCTCCGGGAGGTCCCACTTGGAACAAAAATATGTCTTTGTTGCCTGGTGGACAGTCTATATGACCTTATCGCTGCTATAGTCCAGAATGTGTCATGCGTATGGTTGATATCTCTTTAGTTGGCGGTATTCTATAAATTATAGTTTACGAGGAGGTTGCTTGTATCAGGCGAGTGGACCGTCCAAGTTCTTGGATCTATGGAACGACAACCCGTGGGTCGACGTTATATTTTTGGACAAGATCAGGAATGCACACATTGGTGTGATTGATCTGAGGGGGAGCGACTGGATACATCCAACAGTGGCAGGAGATTTGAACCAACATAGATGCTCTATGGACCCAACTCGGGTTATCTCCCGTGTACGATTGTTCATGAAAGTGCTTCAACGCCTACTAATTGCTTGAGTTAGGGGGCAAGCCCCGTGAGATTGCTGCATGCTCCGACCAGTTACATTTCAGTTTACATGGTAGTCATCTTTTTCATCAGGGAACTAGTTTTCTGGTCCGAACTCGTTATTTATGTGATTTACTCTGTCCACCTATAGCGTACTATTTGGGTAGCAATAACTCTGCGCCACTTACCGCAGCCTACCCTATCTTTTTGTCAGAGAAAAACACATTATTCTCCTCCTGGTACAACTTTCCCTCACTTAATTCCAAGGTCAAAGTTTTGAACGTGACCGTTCCACCTCCGATCCGAATCCTCTATATCATCTTCCTTATGGATACCTGAAACCCCTAAGGACCTAACCTTTGGCTGCTAGTTAAGGACGCTGGATGTGATGTGAACTCCCGTAGAAATAAAGTACTAGTGTAACAAACGTATTCATTCAATTATGAGGAGCCCCTGTATCATGTTCAATATCCAGCTAAAGCAAGAATGCAAAGGAGAGTAAATGAAGATATCAAAGTAGAACCATTATAATAGTAATAGCTTACTAGATCCTAGAGCGCTCTTTGCAACCGTGACCGCTCTCAAAGTCTGAGCGCTTTTCCTGTGACAGGTGCCGCGCCCCTTGACTTGCGATGGGTTCCCGCTGTTAGTGAAACCTCATTTACAATTTCCGTTTCCTTTCTCCCCCCTCTCCCTGTTCTCCTTGGATTCCCGTCCCTCCCCTGGTACTTATTTTCTCTCTATTCCTCGCCTTTCTCTTCTTTCCCATGCATCGTTAATATTGCAAATTCTTATTCTTTTTACTATTTTCCTGCAGGACAGTCCCTTGTCTCAGTGAGCATAGGTCCCTTATCATTGTCACTGTTGCATTGGTGAGTCTTCTCACCGCGTTCTGAAGGGTCAAGGTACCCCGAGACCTTTGCGCTCGGTCATACTCGCTGGTGCGAGGAGACCTTTCTGTCCTTCAAAAGCCAAAAGGTATTGTCAGGTAAGGTCTCTCTTATTCGAACTATCAATAAAAAAGAAGAAGGAAAAATATCTGGCAATGCTCCTCCCATCTCGACTGAGGTCTACCCCACTGTTTTGTTGGCGGATCGACTCATTTCTGCTGTAGGATTCGCGGGTTCTGCACACCAGACCTTTTAGGTTTGGGACTCATGGGGCTTGAAGCGCCAGCCTTGTTTGAAGTTGGGCTCCATTCAGTTCTGACAGTATACAGTAATTAACGAAATAACCGAACCATCAACGGATACCCCTCGTACCCGTTGTGAAGTAGGAAGTTATCTACCTCTGGAGCCCGTGCGCTTCTCGTCTCAACTTATGGAAAGTAAGTCGGTGTTGCTTTCTCTATCACTACTGCCCGGCAGCCATTTGTGAATCTGCTACGGCATACATTGATGGCATTTGTCCCTATTTTTATATAATTCAATGATATTGGGACCTTTGAACGGTGACTGACGGCGACACTCAGGATGTACTCTCCCGACCAGTTCATGAATCCTGGGCCAGCACCGCGTCCACTAGCTGAACGTCCGAAGCTAAATTTGCCTGCTAACTCCTCAAATACGGTCGCCTCCTTCAGCCAAATGAGCCTAGACTCCCCCAGTACACCAGGGTCAGCCAACTTGTCATTATTCCCGAATACTAGCACCCCGTCTCTTACACAAACAAAAACCAACCAGTCGGGACAAGGAGGGGTAGCCGTCATCAAAGAAGGGTATGTTCGTTGCAAGGAAGACAAATTTCTGGCTACCTGGAACCAGCGATATTTGATGCTTCGAGAGTCCCGATTAGACTTTTTGAAGAATGAGACGGGTAGGGTAGTCTTATCTATCCCGCTTCAGACGGTCACCGCTGTCTCCCGTTCCGAAGACACTCGGATGGCCTTCGAAGTTATTCGTCTGGCCAATCAGAAAGATGCCACCTCTAAGGCTGCTCTGATTACACGCGACGTGCCAACCAAGAGCATTACCTGTGAGGTTAAGAGTGATGACGAGATCTATGACTGGATTGACAAGATCTACGAACGCTGCCCGGGAATGGGAGGCGTAAGCAATCCGACCAATTTCAGTCACCGTGTTCACGTCGGTTTCGACCCGCGGACAGGCGCCTTTGTGGGATTGCCGCCTGAATGGGAGAAGCTGCTGACTGCATCGGCTATTACCAAAGAAGACTATAAGAAGAACCCCCAGGCCGTCATCGAAGTTCTCCAGTTTTACTCCGATATAAAGATGCGCGAA